CTGGTCCACGGTGGCGACTTGCAGACTGCCCGAGCGGCACGTTTGAACAGCCTATGTAGCCGTTGTTCCTGGGCAACTGTCAAATACGGGTAGTAACTAATAGAAGCATACAAAAATTCAGGCAAAACGATAGATCTGAAGTAGGTGAGTCGGCATGGATACGGCAGCGAGGAAGCATGTCGCAGCAGGACAGCAATTTTGCCGGCAACACGACGAGCAACATGGTCCACCATTGTGGTCCAACTCATGTCCGAGTCAAAATGCAGGCCAAGGTATTTGGCAGATGTGACTACTGGTAGGACTTGTGAATTGCATACAACATTGATGTCGAGGGCTGCAGCTCTATGGTGTGGTATGGCGAGTATCTGCGTCTTGGTCTCGTTAAGGATCAGTCCACGATTCTTCAACCAAGTGGCCAGGTACTGAACTGCTGCAGTGAGGCGCTGGGAGACAACTTCTGGCTGTGGACTGCTCGCACGCAGCGAGATGTCATCAGCAAACTGAATAGTGGTGACGTCATGAGGGGCAAGGTCGCCGGCAATATCCCTCACATACAGAACGAAGAGCAAAGGTCCGAGAACTGACCCTTGAGGAACCCCTGACTGGCTGTCATAAGTTGTACTTCTGGTTTTTCCTGTCTCCACGTATTGCCGGCGATACATCAAGTAGTCTGAAAACCATTGCAAAGCAGTGCTAGTGAGACCCAGTTCAAAGAGGTCCTCAACCAGAATGCTATGCTTTACCTTGTCGAAGGCTTTAGACATGTCGACAAATGCTACTCCTGTGTGCTGCCCAGCGGCTTGTGCTTCATTAATGTTCTCTACAGCTAGCGCTAAGGCATCTGCTGTGGAATGCTGGTGTCTGTAACCAAACTGACTAGTAGGCAAGAAATTGTTCGTGTTGAGGTACTGCAGAAGCTGCTTATGAACAATACGTTCAAGCACTTTCGACACTATCGGCAATAGGGAGACTGGTCGGTAATTCTTGGGTTGGCTGGGGTCTCCAGCCTTGAACAGAGGCCGTATCTTACCCACCTTCATTGCCGCAGGAAATTGTCCTTCTCTCAATGACTTATTAAATAGTAGCGTGAGTGACGGTGCCAGGATGTCAGCATGCATCTGGAGGAGACTTGCTGGAATATCATCACTCCCAGTGGCTTTTCTGGCGTCCAACTGTTCCAACATTTTCCGAGTAGTTGCAATGGAGACTGGCAAGAATTCCGAGAAGTGCACCGCAGGTGGAGGCCCAAGGGGTAGGCGTAGCTGTGCAGGGCGAGCTGGATCTTCCACAACTTTCGAAAAAGTGTCTCGAATCGCATCCACCGTGCACTGTGGATCCCTGTACGTCGACTGTTTGCCTGTCAACTCCTTGATTATTTTCCAAGTCTCTCTGGCATTTCCAGTACATTGCTGAAATTTGGAGTTGTAGAATTCCTGTTTCCGGGTCCTGTTGTAGCTAGTTGCCGCACGTCTGGCTGTACTAAATTCATCATGAGTCTCCTGTGTCTTAGCAGAGAGCCACTTTCGGTGCAACCTATTCCGCTTGTGTAGTAAGTACAACAATTGCCGGTCAATCCATGGCACTGAAGGCTTCTTCGTTCTGTGATTACTTTGAAGTGGGGCATGGACATCCAAAACCTCAATAAACCGGCTAGACCACTCGGTCCACATGGCGCTTGGGTTGCCGGTAATACTACACAAGTTCTTCTGGGTTAAGTCACGCCGGAAGTGATCGTGGTTTATCCGGTGATAGTTGCGGTATAAACGTGTGGTGTCAGATCCACGAGGCACAATGAGGTGAAAGTCACTGGCCACGGCAGCATGGTCACTGAAAGCGACCGGGATGATCTTCGCTGTAGTGGAAGGATCAAAATTGTTCAGTATCAAATCGAGGGTGCTGTCTTGTCCTGTTGAGCTAAATCGCGTAGACTTGTTGACACCGTGATGCAGAGCATAGCTGTTCAGCAAGTCAGATAAGTAGTGATACTGAGGGTCCCTGGCACTTAGGTCAATATTCACATTAAAGTCACCACAAACGATAGCATTTGGCTGTGGCCTTAGAGCAGCGCAAAGATGTTCGTCTAGCTTGTCCCAGTAACCCACAGGTTCAGATGGAGGGCGGTAGATCGTTCCAACAAGACAACTGCGGGGTTTGCAAGCGACTTCACACCAGCAACTTTCCACACCATCAGTTGTTATGTCGTCTCTTGGTTTTACCGGAAGACATGACTTCCAGTATATGCAAACTCCTCCTCCTACTCGACCACTACGGTCTCTGCGTGTTACACTATATCCAGTCAGGGCTATTTCTTGGTCCGAAACAGTGGCGTCGAGCCAGGTTTCGTTGACACAGACTATATCCGGGGCGTTGAGTTGTTGTGTGAGCAGTAGGATGTCATTGAGTTTGTTACGCAGGCTCCTGATGTTGAGAAATAGAACGCGAAGTGCACTTGGGTGGGTAGGAGAAGGTAGTGGAACTGACGGACTAAATGAGTCAGCAAGGGGGTTAAGTGAAGACATGGCTGTTCTTGTAAAAGTGGGTTGGAGTCTGGCAGTTGGGTTTGACTCTGTCATAGATTATGTAAAAGAAGATCAAATCAGTACTCAAAGGTTATCCCACCGATTGTAACATTCGCCAGGCTGCTGTCTGCATCCTCTTGTGAATCTGCATTTCCAACTGGCAGTTCATTACTTTCAGAAAATCCTTCAGTGCTGTGCAGTGCAGTCCTGGACTGTGCTGGGAAGGTGTGTTTCCCAGAAGCCAGGGTGAAGCCCTCAGCGTCAGGTGACTGGTGAGCTGTCTTTCCTCTGCAGAATTTGTTCATATCCTGCATTGGGGTTCTGCTCGGACTGGTGGTCTCATTGCGAGCCTGCTGCAACAGTTCCGATATATTCCTAGTGTTCTGCTTGTCCTTTGGATCCGCGTGGGGTTGTGCTGGGTCCGTACAAGGTTCACGAGGTCGAGATGAGATCTCTGACTCTGCATCCGTAGATGTACTCGAGGCGCCAAGTACTGGAGGTGGTGGCTGGGGTTCAGAGCTGTGGTGCACAGAGTTGTTGGCTTGACCTGCGCTTGACCCTACCATACTGGAGTACAGCGTACCAGATGCAGAGTTCTTGCCCCGTTGCATCTGCTGAGTGCAATTTCTGGACACGTGGTGGCTTGACCCACACTTATAGCATGTTGGGGTCTGACCCTTGTGCCATACACGGATTCTCTGGTGTGAGCCAGGCAAGACAATCACAGAGGGGACAGCTACGGTCGGTACTATACTGACGTACACCGTTCCAGTGGTGAAGGTACAGGCTTCAATGGTTTTCACCTCCCGCTTTGGTTTGCCGATCACAGTGCCGAATTTCTCGATTGCAGAGACAATGGAGGGGAGGGAAACGTCTTCAGCCACGCCAAAAGCATGGACTGACACTACAGCACCATCTCCAACCACCAAGGTCAAAGGCGTTCCGTTAGCCTGCAGGCCTTTCGTCACAACATCGTCCCTTACTTCAGTGCTGCAAAATGTAATTCTGCAGAATCCACGTCGGCCATTTAGATCTACTTGCTTCACATCTCCTGGTTTTACTCCAGCAGACAGCAACAGCTTTACGTAGAACGCATGATCACCTTCTTGCAAATGTTGCAATTGGGGAGGGCCTGTCCCGCAAAACACGTCGCGAAAAGCTCCGTGTCGAGCTCTGCCAGGGATCGGCTTGGGTCCTTTGACAGGGCCTGGCATGCCCGCGTGTCATGGTCTACGACTGCCAAGACAGGCTGCCTGTACCATACGTATTTGACGCTGCATCAGTGCGGCGGCGCAGCGAGGGTGATCGCGGATGGCGATCAGGCTAAAAATAGACCATGCCTCGGTCCTAGTGGCAAGGTTCTCAATTTTTCCTTTCGGTGCGCTTGTCACCGAAAGTGCCCCTTCCTCGTCTATACGGAACCTCTTAGGGGCTGGCTCCCCGGCAGAAATAGGTTTGGGCGGGAGCAGTATTGCCAGATCTATGTACTCGATTTGTCTTATCCGATCGACTGTCTCCAACGAGACGTGCTAAATACAGGAGGGTAACCCATGTGCGTATAGTGCATGAATTCATCAGCACACATATCGTCTTCTTGCTCCGTGGCGTTCTCCGGTGCATTGCCGCTGAGGGCTGCTGCCACGATCTGCTGGATAGACTCCCTTTGTGCCTGCGAGAAAGCCATGGTGGGTGTGAGACTATCGCTGAGAGCGGAAGCTAGAAGAGACAATTTCAAACAATTTCTGCGGCGGGCAGGCACAACAAACAACTGGTGAATGTCTTTACTTGTTCCTGCCTAGCGAGGGTGGCCTTGGGTGAGCTTGCACCCAAGGCGGATAGGTGGCTTATACGGCATGCCGTACGCGCATCGCGGTTGCGAATGCTTACGTGGGGCCCCGCGCGGGAGCCCGGCAGTGCGTACGACTTTAGCGGAGTTCGTATGAGACTTAGCCGGTTTTGGCGTGTCTGCGGACGGCATCTCCATGCGGGAGATGCGGCTCTGTGACATGTAGGTTAACTACGGTTTGCGCAACGCAAACCAACATTAATAAATTAGACTAAGATTATGGCTAACAATTTAACTAAACGAGTGCAGGTCAAATTGGAGTTCTTATCAAAAACTGTTCAAAGACTAACTGTAATATTGGCCACAACCAATCCAGTCAATACCACTGAAGTCACTTACTCATGCCAGATAGGACTCCCAAACAGCTGGGGTGGATGGCGGGAACGCGGGGTTCGCCTTTCCATCACGCCAACTGGCGGAGCACTGTTAAATACCCGAGCGGTGTCCTCCTCGTCTCGGGCGGCGGCATCAGTGGCATCAGGCTGGTAGGACGGAGTCAGGGTGGATGCCATGGGCTGCGCTGGGTCCGACTCATCTTGCTCGTGGACCTCCTGCAGCCGACTCGGTCGATTGTTACCAAACTAGCCCGTTCACCCCCGTGCAACCACACATCAGCGCAACCTGAACAACCACTATAGGTTACACGAGTAGATTGTCATTATGAATTGGGAGAGCAAAATATGAATTACAAGTCGAAGCAAACCTCCATGACCAACCCCCTAAAGCCAAAAAGATCCGCCGAAAATACAAGCTGGCATGCCTGCATGCATGCACGTACAAAGTCATCATACAAGATGTACAACGCTAGCGTATACTACTGATGTACAGAAACACGTGCACAGTCCGCAACAGACCAAGATTCAAAAGATAAATAATAAATAAATTACTTGAACGAAGAGAACATTGATGAAGCGTAATCATTACTAAAACGGAAAGTACTGCGAAGCAGCTGTACAGTCAGAAATACTTCGAAGTACAAAGAGGAATTAAACATCGAATCAACTGAGTATCATGTTGTCAAAACCAACAGTTCTTCGTCTTCACGATGATGGCAACTTTTCAGCCGGTTGACGTGCACTATCAGCCGACGTGCCGTGGGCTCAGACAGCTTGATGTGGTAGGTGACGGCTGAGAGCTTCTCCATGACTAGGTACGGTCCGTGCCACAGTCTAGAAAACTTGGCGGTTGTACCCGTCGGAATAGCCGGCACCAGAAGCCACACTCTAGGGAGGTTCTGCTATACGTGAAACGTAGAGAAATCACGTAGAGAGCAGGTGTCTGGGTTAGAGTCTACGGCTTCGCGTGTTTTGGCTCCAGATTTCTACGCGGAGATGGGGTTCTCTACGTTGTGGCACACGCAGAGAAAATGCGTACGGATTTACTGGGTATCGATCAACTGCATGCAGAAAACTGCCAAATATGGAAGGGGAAATTCCCAGTACACATTCCACGTGACTTCTCTAGGTGAAACGTAGAGCAGAACAGCATTTCTTTACGTTACGGGAACGCGAAGAAAGTTCGCGTGATTCTTTGCGTCGCGTTCCCAAAACGTAGAGCAGAACCTCCCTTGTGTCACCTGCTGCACACGCCACGGCCTTAGCGTTGCGATCACGGATATGCGCTTGATAGCGGTGCACGTTGCCCAGGTGTTCCCGGAACTGTGCATGAGCGTCCTCCAGGCGTCGGCGGAGAGCACTCACAAATTCCGGCTGGGACGCTACTGCGGATGCTTCTCCTGGCGGTAATCCAAATGCCAAGTCTTGAGGTAGGCATAACTCCCGACCAAAGAGCAGATAGCTTGGACTGTAGCCGGTACTAGTCTGCGGCGTCGAGCGGTATCCCATCAAGAAGGCTGGCAACTTGATGTCCCAATCTCCATGATTCCTGGCGAATTTCCTGCAGACATAGTGCGCCAGGCCACGCTCAAGCGTCTGGTTGAATCTTTCAACCAGACCGTCACTCTGTGGATGGTACGCAGTTGTCCTGGTCTTATCTATGCCAAGCAGAAAGCAAACACTGCGAAACAAAGAGCCATCAAAGTTTTTGCCCTGATCGGTATGCAACCGATCAGGAGCACCAAAACGTGACACAAACTCATTGACAAACACCAAAGCAATAGTGGAAGCATCCATTCTCGGAAGCGGAGAAGCTTCCACCCATTTAGTGAAATAGTCAACTACAACCAAAATATGGCGGTTCCCTTCCGCTGTCTCCGGTAAATTGGTGATCAAATCCATTGCTACTCGCTCAAAAGGATACCCCGTCCAGGAAGACTGTAGTGCAGCGCCAGACCCTCTGCCTACGGGACGTTTCAACTGGCTACAGGAAGAACAACTTGCAACCCAATCTAAGACATCTTTCTTCATGCCTACCCAGTGAAATTGTTGCGTCAGTTTCTTCTGCAGGCGTGTAGAACCCGTATGTCCCCTCTGGTCATGATACTCTTGCAAACCCAAAGAACGTAAATGTCGGGGCACAACGACTTGCAAGATAGACGGCTTACCGGGGCAAGGGTCCTCCCAACGACGGCACAACACCCCCTCATCATGAACCAGCATTTCATGATTTTTCCACAAAATACGTACCTCAGGGCTGCTACCCATCATGTCCTGTGGGCAAGGCGGAGAGTCCATACCTAGCCAGGACACTACTTGGGCGAGATCTCGGTCCTTCTCCTGTTCCGTTTCCCATCTTGACCACGGCCAGTTGAAACGGGTGTGGGGATGTTGCCAACGTCGTTGTTCACGGCCCCTACGAACAGCGTCGTCGGAGCGTCAGGGCGGCGTGACAGTGCATCAGCATTAGCGTGTGATCGACCGGCCCTGTACAATATGGTGAACTCAAATTCAGACAAAAATTCCAGCCAGCGAGCCACAATCGCCGGTGGATTTTTGAAATTAGCCAAGTGTTCTAGAGAACGATGATCAGTACGAATCACAAATCTTTTACCAAGCAGGTAGCAACGAAAATGGCGCACAGCCCACACCAAACCCAACAATTCCTTTTTCGTGGATGCGTACCGTGTTTCTGTATCGGCCAGAAGTCGACTAGCATACGCTATCGGCCGTTCCAGACCTTCCTGAACCTGAGACAGCACTGCTCCTAACCCTAGTCCACTAGCATCTACGTCTACCAGAAATGGTGATGCATCTTGCCCAAACCTGGGGTAAGCTAGTACTGGGGCGGTCGTCAGCACTGTCTTCAGATTCAGGAAAGCGGTTTCACAGTCAGGAGTCCACAAAAACACTTGGCCAGTTTTTGTCAGGCTGTACAAGGGGCGGGGCAATGGTGGCAAAATCTTGGGCAAACCGCCTATAATACCCACAGAATCCCAAGAAACCACGCACTTCTCCAACAGCTTCAGGGGCGTAGGAGGGGTTTTGGAAGTGGTATGACCAAAGGTTGGCGCGGCCGAAGGCCGTTTTGGAAGGGGTCCGGGGGACCTCCACCGGGAAAATTTTGTAAAAAAGACACAAAATCCTGCGTTCTGGGAACTTTAAGCACACTTCACACACACTTCTGGCGCAGTGTGCATGCAGTCGAGTCGAGTACAGTAGACTCAGTCCGACTGCAGATGCATAACAGATCTACGAGTCTAGAAAAAGGTCAAAGTCTGATGCGCATATGCATCGATGGATCCTGATTTTTTTATTACGGTTTTGCACGTTCCGGACGGACCACACTTTTCGAAAAGTGGTACGGCCATGGTCGTACCAGTCGTAGCGGGTGCTACGCCCCTGCCAGTTTCTGACTTTCTCGATCTGACCCGGGTCGGTCCTAACCCCTCCCGGGTAACAATGTGGCCCAGGAACTCAACACTTGTGCGGAACAAGAAACACTTACTGGGCTTCAACCGCAGATCTGCCTTCAAGAGACGGTCAAAGACCAACTATGTCACTTTAGATTTCAGTTTCAACACTCCATAATCCGAACCCACAGTACTGATTGAGGCGGGGGAGGTAGAGAAGAACATTCGCCCTTGTCCCGAAGAAATTGTGCAAGGAATGTGGGATAATACGTCCCGGCCAACAATACAATCACGCGGCAACCCCTTAACAATTCTTACCCGGTGCCAACAGGTTGCATCTCCGAGTTCCAACTGAACAATTGCTGACGCCACGGCTTCTAGTGGTTGGCCGTTGGGGCCAATCAACTTCGGGCCTTGGTCAGAGGTTTCCTTTTCCAGCTCCTTAGGTAGGCGGTCGGCAAAATCCTCTGACAACAATGTAGCGGCGGATCCTGTATCAATCACAGCGTCCATTGGACATCCATTCACCGCTCGAGGCACCAACATGTCGCATGCTCACTCGCATGTTCAAAGAAGACAGAACACATAGATCAGGCTATTGTTTTCTTGTAGCAGTCTAAGTTTTGCAAATACTGACTTCAACTCCAGGGTTCCACTTCCCGAGAGTATCTACAAAAGCAGATGCAAACGACCTCCCGCCTTTTGCAGCACAGCCTTGACGCTGTGTTTGCTGTTAATAATGACAACTCTCAGAGTAAGTACTCCGACAGACTGAGAACCCGCAGAAAAGGGCACTAGACTACAGCCATTTCGTCGCTAAAGAGCGGTAATAGCATCAGCTACATCCCAGAGGCTAATTCATAGGTTTCTTCTGAGAACTTGCAAGGCCTAGGGCTCAGCAATAATCAGTCTGCAATCGGCCACATGCCCAGAGGTAGCAAGTGCTGCAAAATTCGTCAATTTGCAACAAATACAGACTGGTGTATTTTTTCCAATTCTTCCTTACCGGCAATACAAGGTCAGGGGACCAGCGAGGATCGCACTGTAGGGGCGTCGATTCCACTCCCACCGATGGGGCGGTAGAAACCCTACAGCAATGGCTTCAGGTACAATAGCTGCACGAGCATGAGCAGCTGCTGAGACAGCGCAGGAGGTAACAGCAGCTCTTTTTCATAGCCCCTGCTGAACCATAAGGTCACAAACACAAAACCACAAAAAAAACACAAACCACAAGCACAGCAGGAAAACTGCTGCCACTGTGCCAGCTTCGCCATACAGGTCAAATTCTCCATTGACGCCATGATCAAACCCTTGACTTGGCGGCGCTCCACATCTGTTTCCAGAATGCGAATGTGCATACCAAGTGACACAAACAAAAATAATGGATTTACGACGCCACGTGGAATTGTCGTCAAACTTACGATCACGAGAAACAGCCCAAGAACAACCATACCTTCTTCTTGATATCCTTGAGATCTCGTAGAAGTCCGGTCATTCGCGGATCGGGCAGCGGAAAATCCATACTGCCCGTCCATTCGAACGACCGGGGCATCACAATGTCATAATCATCAATGTCTCTCTCGTTGACAGCACACAAGGTGTCGGATCCTGTTCACTGCGCCAAATGTCGTATCCGGTCAGCCCCGGGGTTAGACCCCAAGGCTGCGGTGAACAGGATGAACTAACTTACTTACTTAACCATCACATTACAAGGCCGTGCAGTGGTGGCCACTTGGAGAGAGTCCACCAACAGAATTACTCTTACGCACGCACGCACATATACCTAGACATACTCTCACACACACACTCAGGCATATACAGACACGTACACTCACACCAGCGTTCAGGTATACTCACATCTTGAAAGGAGCTAACTTAGTTCAAGAGACGATACTGAGAGCACAAGGCAAGACAGACGAAAGCCGAAGCTTCCGCCTGAAGGTGGAAGGCAAGAGAGAGAGCGAGAGAAAGATGATGGCAATAATATCTAGTCGCGGCCATGGAAATCCATGGCCACGAGATTGCTGATCCCGCATGCAATAGCGTATCAAACCGTAGTAAATATGTGTACGAACTGTTGCATAAAGAGCGGGAGCCAGGTGGGGAACTAACAGCGTATACCAAATAAGGAAGGCCCCAGGCCTAGTGTGAAGACATAAAATAAAGACGATTATGAACCCGTTTACGGGAGATAGATAAATAATTAGACACCTAAATAAGGCATACTTGTCCCGTAGAGACCTAAAAGGCACGTGTCAATAGTATGGATACGACACAGATACAATCTTTCAGAGTGAAGCTTTGTCATCTCTCTCTCTCTCTCATCTCTCTGTCTCTCATCTCTCTCTCTCTCTCATCTCTCTCTCTCTCTCTCTCTCTCTCTTTCTCTCTCTCTCTCTCTCTTATCTCTCTCTCTTTCTCTCTCTCTCTCATCTCTCTCTCTATCTCTATCTCTCTCTCTCTCATCTCTCTCTCTCTCATCTCTCTCTCATCTCTCTGTCTCTCATTTCTGTCTCTCATCTCTCTCACTCTCATCTCTCTCTCTCTCTGTCTCATCTCTCTCATCTCTCTCTCTCTCATCTCTCTGTCTCTCATCTCTCTGTCTCTCATCTCTCTGTCTCTCATCTCTCTGTCTCTCATCTCTCTCGCTCTCAGATGCAATCCTTCAGAGTGAAGCCTTTCAATTTCACTCCATGCCCTCTCTCTCTCTCTCATCTCTCTCTCTCTCATCTCTCTCTCTCTCATCTCTCTCTCTCTCATCTCTCTCTCATCTCTCTCATCTCTCTCTCTCATCTCTCTCTCTCTCATCTCTCTCTCTCTCTCATCTCTCTCTCTCATCTCTCTCTCTCTCATCTCTCTCTCTCTCATCTCTCTCTTTCTCATCTCTCTCTCTCTCATCTCTCTCTCTCTCATCTCTCTCTCTCTCATCTCTCTCTCTCTCATCTCTCTCTCTCTCATCTCTCTCTCTCTCATCTCTCTCTCTCTCATCTCTCTCGCTCTCATCTCTGAAGAAATGGGCTTCAGCCACTAGTGAAAATGGACAATACAGCTCCAGACGACGACGACAGACGCACGAGAACCGAAGGGCAGCCACAGAGCCCGCAACCACGTACAAGAAACTGAAGCCAACCACATAGCACAACACACGACAAACAATAAAAATTAGGAAACAAACACTATAATTAAACAGTCTCCCGTAAACAATTACTAACCCATGAACACGCCGCTAACGTAGGTCCCTAAATACTGCTCAAACCCTTACCCTAACCCTAACCCAAACCACCACACCGCTTACAATAAATTAAAAATTTACCCCGCACATAATTACTAACCCGTATACATGCCGCGAACACTAACCCATAGACGCCACACAAACACTAATCAATGGACCCAGTGCATAACCCCTAACCCGACCGCAACGTGAGCAACTATCCCTAACCCTAACCCTAACCCAAACCCTAAAATCTACACCACACGTAACGAATAAAAAATTGTTCACCCCATACGCAATTACTAATCCATAGGTATGTGGCAAATACTAACCCATAGACACTACGCAATTACTAACCCATAGGTATGTGGCAAATACTAACCCATGGACACTACACAACAATTAATTAATGGGGTAGTGCACAACCCCAACCCTGATCCCAACTCTAGCCCCAACCCTAAAACACTACACCACTTACGAATTAAATTTATCACATTCGCAATCACTAATGCGTGGATGTGACGCTACTACTAACCCATAGACGCCGCACAAATATTAACAATAGGGAGGTTCCGGAGTACGATTTTTCGTGCCAAAATCCGTGGAGGCGCTACGGATATTTTATACGTCGTTTTCGAGCAGTGAAAAGTTCCGGGGTACGGAACGTATGTGTTTGCCGTCATTAGACACCCTTAGCAAAAACGTTATGTTGTAACGGTATTATCGTAAGGGGGAAAATACCGTGATTTGGGTTCGACCTTTAGCAAGATGCACGCTATTTTTAGTACGCTGTTGCCACGAGATTAGCTTTGATTTCGCGCGGTACAACCATTTTTTCACCATATACGCAATACAAGGTGAAATGCGTACGGACTATGCAATATTTGGCTAAAACACGTACCGTTGGTCACAACGATAAATCACCCCCCATAACGTTTATACGCTGCAGCTTCAACGCTATTTGGGTGATCAAGGTACGAGTACCGTAAAAAAATAGCGTTACCGTTGTTTGCTAAGGGTGTCTGTTGCCTAGGTTACGATCGCAAACACGTCACATTCCCGCGCTATGCCTTTCTATTTGGAAAATTTGTACCGAAATCAAAACTTCCCGCGGAAAGTCGATGTTTCTCGTACCAAATTTGTACGCGAAAAATATTTCTGCACCCGATGACGCAAAATCTCCATACGAAACATGGTTCGTATGAAAGCCAGTCAACACGGATTCTCCGTGCCGAAAAATCGTATGGAGCACGTCTGGAAAAAATCCGTAGCGCCCATACGGATTTTGGCACGGAAAATCGTACCCCGGAACCTCTCTAATTACATATCTACAAGCCTGCGAAATAAAATAATGTAAGGGGATGGCCACCCGAACACCAACTGCATGCCTACAGGACACTAAAACAAGCACTTACCTGCTCCAACTGGAGAAAACACCGTAGAGACGAGTAGATAGACAAGCGACAGCTACGAGATTCAATCTCAACTCTCACACGGCGACAACAACTAGTTACTGGACTACTAGAACTGAGCGCCGCAGCGCGAGCAAATGACAACTAGAGAACGGACCGCTAAACTGACGCGACCAATGCGCACCACGACTACTAGTACTACTCTTGCACGAACGCTGATACTAGCAGGAACACCTCAGCACAAATAAATTCAGGGCTCACAGTCCAATGCATTAATGGGGCTGTTAAGTGATGACGTCACAGTTCCTTCGATACGCATAGCAACGATCCCACTGGGGACAAACAAAAGTAGCGTCGTCTCCATCGAACCAGTTGTCAGTGGCAACATATAGGAATCGTGTACATTTCTTCGTTTCTTCTTTGCTGTTTTCAGTGAGTGTTTTGTTTTCTCTTTGTCCTTGATCTCGACGGTGTTGTCGTGCTCATTACCTTACTGAGACGTCTCTTGTGACTGAAGCCAGTGTCACGGAGGATTTTATTGGCGTGACGAGGTAGATCGCCGAGATCGAGCGTGAAAAACGCTCTGCATTAGTAGCTCCTGTAGAATGTCTTCTGGGATGGCGTATCCATGGTCAACAAAGCCAAGGTGCAAGACAGCATAAGAGGTCGTGTAAACGATGTGAACTCCAAAAGGTAAGCTCCTGAACAAGTGGAAAGATATGTGTATTTGCAAACTCTCTCTTCATCCATCGATTGCCGCTATGCATTGCATTTTGTCTTCACAGATAATCTGGACAAATAAATTATATTGTAACTGGAGAGTGCAATCGTGCTTGGGACCCATCCCAATGTCATCACATGGCTGTGGTGACTAGTCTATACCTGGGAGAGTTTTTCCTCAACTGAGATGGAGTGTAGGTGGATGGATTATGAGAAATGCGAAGATGTGGAGTAAGTTGTGTCGAAGAAATGTGTAATAAAATAAAATTTACTTTACACTCAAACATACACGGTACATGTACATGTAACATCATGATAATGATTCCATCTTCATATCTCCGCAACAGGTACGCCATACGCACCGAATACATGGTGTGTGTGCACGCGCGCGCTTGCGTGCGCGCGTACATGCACACACTCTCATGCGTGGCCGAGTTGGCCGGATGAACAGACCACGCATTTGCACGAGGTGTCCGTCATGTCATTGGAATGCTGTACTTTATGACTTTATTCCAAAATAGTATGTCTTGCCCCTGTCAAATGGAGCTTGTGTCTATGCTCAGTGGGTATCGGGCCACGACGCCACAGTGCAGTCAGCGCTGGAATTAAAATAGCACCTCATGGATTATTTTAACTAATTTCCTTTGCGTTTACATGTACTTTGTTGAGCCCGTGGTTTCATTTCTGTGTTCTGTTATGATTGGCCTCTGGAAATAATCGGAGTGGATGTCATTTTTGTCATATGTGTGTGCCTTGTGCAACAGGTTCAAGGCTAGATGCACTTCACATTCGGCGTGCGATCTCGGCGTCTGGGACCTGATAACGTCTAGGTTGGATGGGTAATCAAGGATGATACTACTCGGCACACCAATGTACATGTCAATGTATTTTTTACTTTTTCAGAGCTGCACTATTTACGGACGATTGTGTCTGTTAGAGAGGAAATAAATTAATAGTATTCACAAACAAGTCCCACTTATTGTTTCTGTTCGTAAAAGGAAATTGCAATTCTTGGGTCATATTGTTCGTTCCGGCTGTTTGTCATTGACTGTTCTTCAGTGTTGTGTTGCTGGAGGCCGTGGCCGAGGCAGGCCCAGAATGTCATGACTTGATAATATTATTTCATGGACTACACTTGACGTGCAGTCCCTGCTCGCTGCTGCACGCGATCGATTTTTATGGCGCTCACTTGTTCATACTTGCTCTGTGACGCCCCGACGGCCTTAGGGCTATGGGCTTGTGATGACGACTATTTACGTCTTGATGCTTAATTCGGTGTTAGCGTGTTTCCCCCGGATTATTTCTATCATCATGCGTGTTCTTGGGTTGAGCGAGCATATGCACGAGTGTGCAGCTATAACCCCGTGTATCTTTGGTTTCACTTTGTTCTGCAATGCATGTACCTTGTAACAGTATGTGCTTGCACTGCTTTGTGTGACCTGCATATTTCAGGACTATTCACTACACAAAACACAGAGCGACGCAACAAAAGATCATCCGGCAACCAAACCAACCTGGGTCTAATGCACTGAATAGTATTCAGTGCATTAGACCCAGGTTGGTTTGGTTGCCGGATGATCTTTTGTTGCGTCGCTGTGTGTTTTGTGTTCATCAATTTCTGGGCTTGAGAATTGAGCTGGTGTGTGGTTCCCAATATCAAAACATCATGCTGGTGCTCTGTGTTTCGATTATCGACTGTCCGAGCAGTCACGATTCATTCCCAGAACGGTCAATACTGTAGTCTCTTGACGTGTTTGTCTTTTTGTGTTTTCGCCGTGGGAATTACCGGTGACGTTGCACATAGAACGGCAGTGTTGCATCACTGGACGACCCTGCCTCTGCATCTGATTTCATGTCCCCAGGATCTGGTGCAGATACTATAGTATAGTACACCTGACAGTCACTTCCTGTAAACACGCAAACAGCAAAAGAAGAGATCCCGCAAATCAGGAAAACCATTGTGGAAAATATCGAGTAGATCATACACCATTCAATAATCTGGAGTAATTACAGTGAGACAAAACACTTCAGTGCTCTCTCTCTCTCTCTCTCTCTCTCTCTCCATCCTTCCAAAATACCCTGTAACAATTCCCTAGCATTATTTTATTTTATATTCTCAGGACATCATTCTGAACATAATAACTTCTTCCATGGGTCTTCAATCACCACGGAGGGCGAGAATAATCTAAGTCATGCAGTTTACGGGAGGTGCGAGATGTCATGGATATAGAGGCCTCAGGCTGATATTATTGTGCCAACGTGAGGGCAGAGACAGAAAGAAGACACTGATTTCTTGAACAACTTACCAACATATAATCGAATCCACAGGGAGCGCTCGTACTTTGATCCATCAGGACGCGAATAATCTTCAAAGCACTCTCAAACACGGAGTTTTACAGTGGGCAGCCAATTTCACAGCCATTATGAAGGCCCTCGACGACTACAGAAGATTTGTAGAGGAAAGAACAAGGAGTAAAGAGCGACAACAATCGCTTGAAGAAAAAGCAAAGATAAACTGCTCTCTCTCTCCAGTCATTTAGATGCTGTTGCAACTTGCCTTTGACAACTGGTTCCATCCAGAGGACGCGACTTTTGTTTGTCCCCAGTGCTCTCCGTTGCTATGCGTATCGAAGGGACCGTGACGTCACACTTAACAGCCCCATACAAAAGCGTGGAGTCGCGCACGCGGCTTTGCGCGGATGTCACGTCATGACAACTGACCAATCACAGGCCTCTATTCTCTTCTAATCTCTATTCTCAAATCTTTGATCTTGTCCACTACATCGGCCCTGATGTCCATGAAGCTGGGATTCGCTGTGCTGATTCAAAACCCCCAAACTCAGTGATCTACCGCAGCGTTTCACCATTTTCCCTCCAGTTTTCCGGCACGGATTAGCCAAAGTCTGGTCGTTTTGGCTTCGATTTCGGCACAGCAATTGGAAAAGTGATCGGTAAATGTCTGGAGAATTCCACGCTGAAAAAAATAAGCCATAGATGATCAAAATCCGCCAAGAATGAGATGTAGTGGACATTTTTGAGTGAGTGCCACTCAGCGCGCAGAACGCCAGAAGTGCAAAAGCAGCACCAGATCAAACAACAAGAAAAACGCATGCATGCAGCTGGAACAGCAACGCGCGCCGTCCAACAGAAAATCATTGCGCACAGATTTTTCAGTGTTCTCTCCTCAGTTCGCCCGCGGAGTTGGTTGCTGTGCTTTCGTTCTCGCTGGAGTTCTTGTGGCAGCGCATTTCGCCATCATGGAGGAACTGGTACCTCTGGAAACCTGGCCTTTAGTGGCCCTCAACTAACGCCTGGCGGATTTGCTGGTCCCGTTCGCCTCCATCCGATCAGCAGCTCCGTGTTGTATGTTCTCGGCGTTACCTGCCTGGCGAGCTCTGACTCGTTTGTTTGTCTTCTAACCTGTGGAACATCGCGATCGCTCATTGTAGCATCAGCATTTGGTCGAACAGCGGCTACATGACATGAATTTCCTGGGACTAGCACAGGTTGCCTTTCGCCTTCTCCTTCGGTGGACCAATTCTACAAGGCACAGTGAAAGGCAAGTCGTTGCCGAGGGCTGGCAGTAACTGTTCAGTGTTGCAGTGCAATTCCCAGTGAAAATAATAAAGTAGGGGTGAAACGAAGGTCTCAAATTCCCATTCGAACCTTCTTTATTAAAACGAACGAAGGTGTCGAAGGATTCTTTTTTAGCATGATCACGGAAACGCTCAAAAATCTTAAAAATAAAAAGGGGGCAGAAAATCAGAACCCAATACTTATAATTATTGTATGTGCAATTTGTTTCTGAATCTGGTGGTATCAATGTATCCATTCCAGGTAAGAAAATACTTTGGTCGAGCACACAATTTTAGATAGAGGCAAGGTGTTAACATACCGACTCTTGATAGAGGCCATACCTAATACCAAGAGTGCATAAACAACGTTTAAGGACTCCTGCTAATACCTGTTTGTGAGTCAATTGTCCATATTTCTGGCAATTTAGATCAGTGTACTTGGGATCGTGTACAGACTTGCTAGCCTTGGCTTTTGTGACACAAAACGACAGGAGTACTGCTCTAGTGTACAGCCAGTTGCATGCTTGAACAACACCAAAATGGACGGAAAAGAGCCATATTGCGTAGTAAATATCAGATGCCCAACTTCATCAAAAAATTGTCAAATCTGGACATGTACTTTTCGCTTATCTGCTCGCATCCACCGGGTGCATTGGTGATTGAGAGGAGAGTGAATTGTCACTGGGTGAGGAACTTCACCTTCGTCGATGATTCCAGGCCATCGCTGCGCTCCCTCTCGCTGCTGCTGCTGGGAGAGTGAATACTGCAATGGCTTCAGCAATGGACACTTTTTTTCGATACAAAAAATGAGACTACACTCGTATCGCTGCTACAACTTTCTCCAGACACCATCACTAGCAGATATCGACGGCAGCTACAGCAAGCTATATTCCTGGTACAAGCAGCATTACTGAGCG